TGCTAGGATTACTGGCATGAGTCACCGTGCCCGGCCAGGTGCCAGTATTTTAAAATAGCATTCTTGTAATTGTATATGCTTTAGTGATTGATGCTGCTTTGTTTGTCACCCTACAGTAATTTTGACTCATATTCTCTACATTTGCATTTGTTTATGTAATTTCAGGAGGAATACTGAACATTTGAGTCCTGAATGATACTAATAAGCTAATAATTGCAGAGGTTAAAATAAAAACAACCAACAACAGCTCACTGAATGCAGCCTCCTTTAAGCAGGGTTGGAAAAGCCCACTCAGTGTCCTGCCAGTGGCCATGTGGACAAACACCCCAGCAGCTTTCAACCTAACAAAATACTCCAAACCTCAGGTTTCCAGGATAAGATAAAGACCTGTAAAAAACACTGATGAAAAAGCAGACTAGATCTTATATCCCAAAAAACAAATGAACAAAAAAGGTGCTCACATTAAACCCAACCTGAAAGTGACAGGGACTGTTTTCATTCCATAAATTATTTCTTGCATGTCTATTAGGTACAAAGCATGGAAACAGGTGCGGGAATATAAGAAACAAAGCATACTTGACCCATCCTCATGGAGCCTACAGACTATCTGGGGAAAGAGGCAGTTAAATGAGCAATTACTATAGTTCTCTGATGCAGCAACTCCAGGGAAGACGAGCGCTCATAGCAGAAACGCTTAAACCAGTCCAGAGGCTTTGGGATGGTCAGGAAAATCCTAACTTAAGTAGGAACCTGAGGGTGCATGAAGTTATAGGGGAAAGAAAGGGAGAAAGAATAATATGATACAGGTTTAAAAGGGAGTGGGAACACGTTTGTTTTCCTTGCAATGCAGGTGTTTTCTCATGTAGCATGTGTGAAAGATTCATGCACATACAGGTGCACAAAAGGTATATGAAAAAAATGCTTACTATCACTAATAACCAAGGAAATGCAAATCAAAACCACAATGAGATATCAGCTCACCCCAGTTAAAATGACTATTATCAAATAGACAAAAAATAACAAATGCTGGCAAGGATGCAGAGAAAGGGGAACTCTCACGGACTATTGGTGGGAATGTATATAGTACAGCCACTATGGAACACGGGATCATTCCTCAAAAGACTAAAAATAGAACTACCATACGATCCAGCAATCCCACTACTGGGTATGTATCCAAAAGAAAGGAAATCAGCACATAGAAGAGATCTCTGCACTCCTGTGTTCATCACAGCACTGTTCACAATAGCCAAGATACGGAATCAACCCAAGTGTCCATCAACAGATGAAGGGATAAAGAAAATGTGGAACATATACATGATGGAATACGGCTCATCCATAAAAAAGAATAAAATCCTGTCATTCGCAGCAACATGGATGGAACTGGAGGTCATTAGGGTAAGTGAAATAAGCCAGACACAAAAAGATAAATATCACATGCTCTCACTCATACGTGGGAGCTAAGAAAAAGTGGAGGTGGAGAATAGAATGACTGGGAAGGGTAGGAGGAAGGGAGGATGAAGAGAAATTAGTTGATCAACTAGTACAAAAATACAGTTAGATAAAAGGAATAAATTTTAGTGTTTGACAGCACAGCAGGGTGCCCATAGTTATCAATAATTTATTATGTATTTCAAAATAGCTAGGAGAGAAGATTTGGAATGTTCTCAACACAAAGAAGTGATAAATGTTTGAGGGGATGGATACCCTAATTACTCTGATTTGATCATTACATTGTTTGCATGTTTCAAAATATCACACACAGCCCATAAATATGTATCATTATTATGTATCAATTAAAAAGCATGGACTTACAAAACTAGCCAAGGGCCATTAGATATCATCTAGTGCTAGAATCATAGATTGTTACAACTGGTCTCTTCCAAGTCTGTCATTTCAAAGCTGGAAGAGGCAGAGGAATCTAGACACATTCCCAATGTCAAGAGTTAGCGCCTGAGACGCAGCTGCAGCTCAGGTCGGAGCACTCGGTCCTGCACCAGCAGGATGCAAAGGTCCTCACTGGCCAAAACCAAGTGTATACATGAGCATTGTCCAAAACCTGGGAACAATGTGCAGAAAAGAAACCTCGCCATGAAGCCTTACCCCAGCAAAACAAAACAGAAACCAAACACCCCTAAAAATAAGGAGAATAATAATAATAACACCTCTCGCCAGAACAAAGTCTTCTGACTTTGACTATGCAAATAACACCTACATAGGAAATTTCTTTTCCCCACTTTATGTGACCTCTTATTTCTGTGTCTGTTCTTAAATTACCATTTCCAATACAAGCACTCATTATCCCACCCTAAAACCAGTCTTTAGATAAACCTCTGTGTGACGAGACAGGAGAGAGACTTTCCGCAGAAGAAAGCTTGGGTGGGGGCAGAAGGGAGAGACGCAGGAACAGAGTGGGCTTCTGCTTTACGGAGGCCCAAAGCAGTGCATGGAAACCCATCCCACCATCACAAGCCACCAGGGACGCCTCCACGGACAGCTGCAGAACACTTACTCAGATAAAGCCGCCCAAACTCAATCAGGAGCCAGAGAACGAGAAGTCCTTTGGACATTTTCACGGTTGACAGGCCCCAGGAGTCTGTCTATCTGTCCAAAGCCCATTTCTTATACCCCAGTTAATGCTGACAGGGTGGGACCCTTTAGTTTCATTTCTCTTTTTGCCTCATTATCTTCCCTTTCCCCTGTCCTGAATGGCCTCCCTCAATTGGCGGTGTGTGGCAAAATGTGCTGAGCACTTTGCTCCTGGAGACCAGCGCATGTGTGGAGTGATGGCGTGGGCGTACGTGTGCCTGTCTGTCCATGCGTGTAGTGGGATTTCCTACATGTGCACAAGGACCCACGTGTGTGCTGGTGCGTACATGCATGTATAACCTGGGTACAGGACTCGGTCATCCTGACTGCTTTGCAGACTGTGATAAAATGCAATTAACTCTACCCACTGGCAATTGTTTACATGTGGATTCCTTGTGGGGCCAAAGGAAAGGTAGGTTGGACTTGGCTCCACCCCCTGCTCTGGGTCCTCCCTCCCTCTGACCCCTGGTCCCCCTGCCCCAATAATGGAGAAAGAAAAGCAGAGCTGCAATCGTTCATCGCATAAGCCAAAGCACCGTTAGAGTTTATTGGGAAAGAAAAAAGGAGGTTCAGGAGAGGAAGCCCACTGTGGTGGTTACAGGACAGGCTCAGGCAACAGCCAGACCCCGGGTCTAGGCCCAAGTCCACCACTCATTAGTGAAGCCACTCGATGGGGAAGAACACAAAAGATACTCGATGATATATATGGCCCTTTTGGATTCCATGGATTCGATGACACATCAAGTACCACAGGACAAGTTAAAAGAGGAATTAAGTTAATGCTTACCAACCAGATGTGTTTTTAAAACAGGATTATAACATCACCATTATTTACTGAATGCTTAATTATATTCCAGACTCTCTGCTAAGTGATATAGATGTATTAATTCTCACACCCCAAGGGATAGATATTGTTTTTCCTATTTAACAGAAAAGGAAACTGAAGCTTAAAGACGTTAAATACATTACTTAATACCCACAGCTAAAAAGTTGTAGAAACAGACCCAAGCCCAAGACTTTTTGATTCCAAAGTCCATGCTTAAACACCAAGAACAGAAAGTACTGAATTTATTGAGTATAATGTACAGGTCTCCACCTCAAATGTTGGCTCCTCATAATTCATCAACTGGAGACTTTTCTCCCTTGTTACCTGTGACCCCAAACAAATGCACCTGCTTCCTCTCTTGTTATACCCCACTTATGGGTTCTCTCCTAATACTTGCATTAATAGCTCTTTAACCTCACATTACTTCAACATCACAGAAGCTGGGGACTTAATAGATATCACAAGAACATAAAAGGGGGCAGGTCACTTTCTCTTATATAACATTTTCATTTGTATAACATGTACCGGGATCATAATTTTAAAAAGCATAATTAGTGTTCATTTTAGATAATATTAGCTAAACCTGTTACTGTCTTTTTAACGTAATTAAATAAATAAAAATTTTGCTTTCTATATTTTCCTGGATTGAGCTTGAGCCCATTATCCAAAGTGACGTATCACAAGATTGGAAGAATGGGCTCGCCATCAAATTGGCACTAACTGATTAACACTATGGTGTTCACATGGCAGTAATATTCTCCAGGGATTAGGGGGTTGTAGGAGGTAAACTCACAACTAAAGGACAAAGTGAGCATTGTAGAGGGGAAAGGCATGCTTCTAACCCTCGCTTGGGTGAGGCAAAGACATAAAATGTAACCAAAATGTTTGTACCCTCATAATACCCTAAAATAAAAATAAAATATATAAAAAAATTTTTGCTTTCTTCCCTCCCACCCACAAAAAGTCCATGCTTAATCACTACATGTTCCTTTGACCTGTGACCCTTAGGGTAATGCCACCATAAGACCAAGCCTACCTGTGACTGGTTCCTACCTAGCACCAGATAGGAAATCCAAGAATGCACAAAGGTTCTAGATTTTCTTTTAATCCTCATTTGATTATAATCAGCCAAACGAGGCTCAAACATTCAACATTGCTTACACTGAAGCTATCAGTGAAAATACAAGTATCAGGTGAGGTTCTGGCCTCAGAGAAGCCAGACAGACAAGGGGCAGGGATGAAAATGGGGGGATTCAGAGAAAAATCTCCCTACTGAATGCTCATGGAACTGTGGGATCCTTTCCCCACGCTACCCCAAGGAAACTGGGAGATTTAATCTCTGAATAAACTGAATGATCTCAGTACAATATTTACAAACATTGATATTTGGGTGCTTCCAACAATACTTCCCAACCCCCCTTCAATAAAGTCACCAGTGCACAAACGTCAGCCATATATGCAGAACTTCAAATTAATATTTATTTACTTATTTATTTATTATTTTTTATTTAAATATGGGGTCTTTCCCTGTCACCCAGGCTGGACTGCAGTGGCATGATCATAGCTCACTGCAGCTTTGAACTCCTGGGCTCAAATAATCCTCCTGCCTCAGCCTCCAGAGTAGCTGGGACCACCATGCACCACCATGCCCAGTTAATTTTCCTTATTTTTTGTAGAGTTGTGGTCTCACTATGTTTCCCAGGCTGGTCTTGAACTCCTGGCCTCAAGTGATCCTCCTGCTTCAGTCTCCCAAAGTACTGGGATTACAGGTGTGAGCCACTGCACCCAGCCTCGAATTTATTTTTAGTGTGTCACTTTTAGATATGACTATACAACTAAGGATCATCGGACATTTGAGGAAAGTCTTCAACATAAATAAAAGACAAAGACAACAGGGAAAACAGAAGAAAACTTTTAAAAAATTCAAAAGAATATTTTCTCGGAAAGAAAGATCATACATCCATAAGAGAGAACAGAGAAGTTACAAAAATGAAAAATCAGAGAATAAGAAAGAGCTCTTGGAAATTAAAAATATTATACCTATCCCCAAATTTTATGGAAAATTTGAAAAATAAAGTTAAGGAAATTTGCTAGAAAGTATAATTGTCTACAAAGTCAAATGACTAGGGTCATTCCAGAAAATTAAAAAAGGAAACAGGGGAGGAAATTGTATAAAAAATAATAAAAGATTCTCATAACTAAAAGACATGAGTCTATAGATTGAAAAGGCTGACCAAATGCTAAACTCAATGAATGACACTATCCCCATCAAAATTGCACATTATCATGTAACATGAGAACAGCGGACATAAAGAAAAGGAATGAAAAGACTCCAGAGAGAAAACAAAACAAAAGCATATTGCATGGAAAGGATTTGGAATCAGAGTGGCATTGATCTTCTAAACAGCAAAGCTACAAAATAATGCAGGAATGTTTTCAAAATTCAGAGGGGAAAATGATTTTCAAACTTGAATTCTATTCCCAATCTATTACTCATATGTAACAGCATAATAAAGATCTTTTTGGATATATATGGATTCAAAATTTGCTTCTCATGCCTCCTTTCTTAGGAAGCTATGGAAGGGAAATCTGTAGCAAAACAGGAGAACCAACCACAAAACAGAAACTCATGGGATCCAGAAATAGGACATTCAACTCAGGGGAAGGAAAATCCCAAAAAGACAATTGCAGAGCAGACTTAGTGGGGAAGTGTTTCACTGCATCATAAACCACCCCAAAACTTAGTGCCTGAACAATCCATTTTTCACGATTCCCTGGGTCAACTGTGCCAAGCTGGGCAGTTCTCCCTCGGTTGCAGTGGCTGGAGCTGGAGTCATCTCAAGACTAGGTTGGACTATTTGTCCAAGATAACTTTCTCCTTGACATACTGATCAAGAGGACTTTTTCACTCACATGTCTAGCAAATTGATAGAATGAGTAGAAGAGCTGAGGCTGAACTGCCAACTCTCTCTTTCCAGATAGCCTTCCCATGTGTCAGCTTGGGCTTCCTTATAGCATGGCAGGCTCAGAGTAGATGAAGTTTCTACATAGCATCTAGCTTTCTCAAAAATGAGCATTTCAGCTGGGCACAGTGGCTCACAGCTGTAATCCTAGCACTTTGGGAAGCCAAGGTGGGAGTATGCTTGAGGCCAGGAATTCAAGATCAGCCTGGGCAAGATAGTGAGACCCTGACTACAGAAAATAAAACTTAGCTACGCATGGCGGTGCACACCTGTAGTCCCAGCTACTCAGGAGGCTGAACCAGTAGGATCACTGGAGCTCAGGAGCTTAAGATTGCAGTGAGCTATGTTAGAGCTACTGTACTCTAGCCTGAGAGAAAGAGAGAAACTCCAGGGGCGGGGGGTGGGGGTGGGAAGCATTCCAACAGGCTCAGGAAAAATCTGCAAAGGTTCTTATGACCTCACCTTAGATGTCATTCAGAATCATTTCCACAATATTCTACTGTCAAAAGGCAAGTCGTAAGGCCATCTGAGATTTAAGTGGAGGCAGCAATACAAGGATGTGAACACCAGAAAATGTGGATCATTGGTGTGGTAGAGGAGGCATCTTTGGAGACTAGTTACTGTAACAACCAAGCCCAGGCTGGAGCAGAAGGGCAGAAGAGTAAGGTTTGGGACAGTGACGATGTATGTAACTGATGATTTCATGCATTTAGGTATTTCGAAAAGAAACGTGATAGATCTTTTTGACAGACATGATGGAACATTTGGGATGAATTTTTGATGGATAGTTGGGAAATTAAGAAAATGAAAGAATGAGGCCATTACTACAACCAGGAAAGATAAACTGTTGTACAAGAAATGAAATGCAATTATGGTACATTTACTAAATGTGAAAGATAGTTACATGATCATGATAATATAAAGTCTGGCTACTGGCTTAACACAACATTGTGATATGACTATGTTGGGAGGATAGGGAGAGAGGAAGTGGGCCAGGGGTGCAAGAAAGGCAAACTCTGTTCACCTTTACGGATAGTATCTTAGATTGATTGATCAGACAATGCCCGCACAAACATGCTGTCAGTAATATGGAAGTAAAAACCAGAAGAAAAAGTTCAAAAGTGTTTAGATTTAATGGAAAGGAGTGGAAAAGGAATTCACTATTTTTAAAATTAAAATGTTTTATAATAATTTTAC